GGCACATTTTACACTGTAACCTAGGACATAGGGGCTGCACAGTTCAGTAACTTGTCATGTATGTAGTATACAAGGGACTGTTCTGCCACAGAATGTGTGTATGTGCACATATATATATATGTGTAGCTTATGTATCCCATGGACCTCATACTGTGAGGAATTGCATACAAATAGTGATGCATAGTTATGCACACGTTTCTATGAATGAAGATGCAGTTGTATATAGAATTATCAAGGACTGTGCATGTAAAAACTTCTGAATACTCATCTTCTCACTTTCTCTGCAAGTAAAGTTTATGATAGATGGCAAGATAAATGGCCAGGGTGAAATCTCACAGGAATTTTTATTGCCCTCTTACTGAAAGAAACCAGGTTGGAGATTAACCAATAACCGTTATTTTAGCAAAGGAATGGTTGGAATCTGGAGCCTCAGTTGTTCCACATGAGGAATTTTAGAGGTTTAAGGAAACGGTTTCAAACTCTACCAGTAATATCCTTTTTCAAAGCCAATTGTATGTGACATAGGAGGGTAGAAAGAGTCGAAGGAAAATACTTGAGTTGACCAAGTCCAGCCGTTCTGCAGATTTTCCATATACAGAAATTTCTGTATTTGTTTCCTCAACATTTAGAAAAGCACACCTTTGCTTGACAGCTGTGCAACAGGGTTGGGGTTAAATACTGTTTGAACCTTGCACTGTGAACGGACTGGGTAACTTTTCCATTGGGAAATATTAAATGTCAGTAGGCACAATTCCCTAAGACGTTTAAAGAGGTTATGGGCAATTGTCACTTTCTAAAATGACATTTCGAAGTTAGAAACAGATCAAACAGGGGGGGCTGCAAAAAGGTTGGACACCAGTTCTTGATATCGCTTCATCTAACCAAAGCTGGAATGTAAGCCTCATATGGATTTCTGGTATATGCCTTTTTTGGCTGTAGAAATAAGCATGTGACTTGTTTGCTAGTGTCTCTTCAGTCTGTACTTCAAGATATTCCCAAGATGTTACTAGTGTGGGTGGCTGTATGGGAGCATGAGATTCTGTATTTTCTTTCTTTTTGATGTAATGTACTTCTGTTTTCAGGTTCACATAACACTAGGGACCAAAGAAGCATACATAATATTTCTGTGGTGCCGAGACCAACCTTCTGAAAGAAGACTCTAAAATAACTTTTTGCCTTCAAGTTGTTTGTCCTGGGACTGACTTGTCTTTGGAGAGGAGCTCAACAGAGACAAGATTTTCATATTGGAACCATTATAAATAAAGCTGTTTAAAGAACTTGCTACCTGGCAACAGATTTACAGAGATCGAGTCCTGCTTTTCATCTCTGCTCCCTCTTCAGACTGTAAACAATGAGTGAGTTTTGGTTGTGTTTCAACTGCTGTATTGCAGAACAGCCTCAGCCTGTAAGTATGTATATTGGCACTGCTTTGTTTCTGTATAATTAACTACATCATTCACATTTTCTGGTTTTCTTACAGCTTTTTAAATTAGTGCTCTTTGGCCAAGCTCAGTGAGAATTAAGGAATTGACTACCATCCTGGCTTAGTGGGGTCAAAAAAAGTCTGTTCTAGACTTTTCACGCAGATACTTTCCTGTCTTTAAGATCAAATCTGTCCAAAGTCTTTGGAAAGAGCCTCCATTTGTTTGAATTGGAAGAGAAGGCGAAAGGAAAGGAAGAGTGAGGAGGACCTAAACTATCATTCTAAACTAAGTCATTTTTGAGTGAAGATTTATAAAGGTCCTGACTTCTGTATGTCTTAAGGCCTGTCTTCAGGTGTGGCTGGACAATGATGAAGGAAGGAAATTATTCTGTTAAAAAGTCCAGAGTGAAATCCAGTCCTCCTCCACCTTAATTTAATTAAGGATTTCAGCCTTAATTGTTTTGTTAATTTTTAGATGAAACCTTAGGAGAGTGAAGGGATGCACTCATACCATACTTTTTTTTTTTTTTAGTAGAATTTGGAATGTCTGTGGTATGAAAAACTACATAGCAAACAGCTGGGTAAAAGAACATTTCAAAGCATACATAAGGAAGACAGAAAGTACAGAAATATTCTTGGGTTTCATATACTCTTAAGTACCTTTATAGTGTGCCTGAGTCCAGTGACTCAGTTGGGAGAAAGTCTGCCTGCATGAAGGTGGAATTAACCAGGAATACGGTTAGCACTCTGAGAAAAATCATTGTATGGTGTGGCATCCAGATCAAGCTAAAAAGAAAGGATGGTCATCTTGCAAATACGTGTGAAAGAGCCCAGTTACTGCTAAAGGATATGGTGGAATTACAGTGACCCAGAGAATCCCAGAGTGAATAGAGCAAACTCACATTAATATGCTCAGGTGATACAGCTTCAGGGAAGCCAGAGGATTAAAAAACAAACAAACAAACAAAAACAAACAAAAAAGGGGGGCGACCAAAAAAACCCACAAAAAAATCCCAAAAACTAATGTTAGGTGTTGTCATTGCACAAAGCCTGAATGCCTGGCTGATCCTGGGGTGGCAACGCAAATATTAAAAGTGTGACTGTTACCATTTCTAATGAATGAATGCAGCTTTATCTTGCTCCTAGTCAAGCAGACTTGAGGGAGATGAATTCTTGAGACATCAACATGAAAAGCTGCAGTCCTCTCCTGTTGCTTCAATACCATGCAGTCCTTTAAAATGCTAGCTGCGTCCATATATAGCTAAAGTTATCTGCTTAGTTTTTGGAACATATATTTCAATTAAAAATAAGCTATGACTTAAAATCCTTGAGATACCAAATGGCATGTTTTGTTTGTTTACAAGAAACCTGAGGCTCAGTCCTTATAAAATCTTGACTCAAGCTTTATGATACAGTTAGGTCATTGCCCAAGAAATATCTAGTATGTTAATACAGCATGTGATCTGTGGGTCATGAATCATGGAAGTGGTGGAGAATGTACTTCGAAAATGGAGAAAAGGGAAACAACTCATTTTTGTATGTTTCTGCTGATCTGGTGGTGTGCATTTGCTTAGAAAATTAAAACCGTCCTTATGTTTAAGACACAAATAGCACATTGCTGAGCGTTGACCTAGTTCCTGAAATCTGCCTTTCAAATGTTGTGGGAGCCTTCCTCGTTATGAAGTGCCAAAACTCTTCAGGATACATCTCAGAAAAAAAGATTTGTGGGCCTTCCTTGTCATGCTTGACAACAGGTACTCAGTTGTCCTTCCCCTGCAGTTACTCAGCTCATTTTGCTGTCTTATGTTGTACAGCCTTTGTTTGGCCATGCACTGTTGGAGCAAGTGAAGTATTTAAGCATATACATAAACATCTGAGTAAGCACAGGAATGTTTTTCCTCTCTGACATGTAGCAAAGCATGTGCTGTCAGTGTGAGCAAAGTGATAAGCTGGACCGGTGGTAAAGAAGCAGTTTTTCTCTGTCTCTGCAGGTGTTGTGTGATTGCATGTTTGGGAGACTTACATGCTGAAAAACATACTAGTTTTTAGCCCCAAAATACTGGTACTTACTGCTCTGTAGTACCAAAGGATAAGTAAAACACACAAACTTGCATAAAAGCTACTTATCTGTCCCCTACCATGCATTCAATCTGTCAGTTTAGTCCAGTTTCTGAGGAGAAATGCTTCACCTGCCCAGTTTCATCTCTTTCATGTGCCTTCTTTCATTTTACCTTCTGCATTTCAGCTTCTTCATGGCCTGACTAAAAGTGTTCCAGCTATCACTTTCATGTTTAGCCGTTACAAGTTCAGCGTGTTCCTCCTGGAAGGACTAATGTCTTGTAGCAACACTAACAACTGCTAGCCTCTCAGAATAAAGACCTTGAAAGCAGGAAGTTACTTAATTTGCTGCTTTTTCTGATCAATGCTTATAATGTTCTTTTTGTTTTAAAACTTATATTCTCTGAAACATGATTGGGTTTTTCCTCATTATCTTTGTCAGGTGCTGGTATCTGTTACACTTTTAATGTCGTGGATAGTGACATAAATTTTAAGCCTCTTCACTGGAGGAAAAAACCCTGGAACTTTTAGTAGTGGCATGTTGCTGTAATATTTATAGCTTCCATTAGCGAAGTTTTCCTCGTTTCTTGAAATCCAGGATGCAGGAACTGTCTCTGTTGCTTTCTTCTGGCAAAACTCTAGCATATTATATTAAGAATCTTCAGTACGGCATCTCTATTCTTTGCAGCTATAGTGCACTTAAAATGAAATAACACATACATGAACTGAGCCCTTTCAGTCAATTTTATAGAAAGCTATTATTCAGGCTGTACACAGAGGCGTTTTCTAGGTTACTGCCAATACTCTGTGTGGCTTCCAGATTTGCATACGGGGGCTTTCCAGTGCATTTTCATGGTTTTGAAACGTGCCTTTTTAGATAAGATTTGCAAGCTTACGGCGGTAAGAACATGTTCCTTATGTGTTTTCGCTGCCATCACTTCCCTAATAGCACACCTCAGAGCAGAACAGTAACGATATTGCAGGTATATATTGGTGCACTTTAAGAGGTTCCTTAATTAAAAGACAATAGTCAAGTATTACCATTGTCTTTTATTGAAATATGTCATGGCATAGCTTTTTGTCTTTTGTCAGTGATCAATGGATGCACCGTGTTGCTGTGAAATAAAACATAGGTGTCTTGGAAAGCAGCGTTCTACTCTGTCCTAATGTTACTTTGGTTGCTAAATTCCTCCCTTGGTGTTGCCAAAACTGCGGTACTCTCACAACAAGGTCATGGAAGGGGTGCGTTTGAGCGTGGGTATCTCTGAAATAGGGTGATAAATGAAGAAATACAGTATGCAAAGAAACAAAGCCAAATAGTGTTACAATTGAAGGAAGCATGTTCCGGATGGTGGCCTAGGGCTTCCTTCTTAATATCTTGAGGTCTTTACCACAGTAGAATGCAAACAAAAGCCAAGAGAAGGTGTTCTTGTATCAACTTCTAGTTTTCTCTTGTCAGATTTGGACTCATATTTTACCACAATTAAGACTTCGGACAACTAGTTGCATTCATATCTGGTTTTGCAATACCAAGGAGGTGATATTAACCTCTTAGTAACTATGTTCAGGTTTTCTTGATTGTTTAAATAGCCTGAATTCAATCTCTTCTAATGACCTAAACCTTTTTTTATTTTGAGAAGAGCAGCACTTTCTGTGATTGCACCGGGTTTCTTACACCTCCCACTGATACCCTTTATAGGTTCTGTAAGCTGACCTTGCACTTCCCAGTGACAAGATGAGTCTTTCTTCCCCTGCTTCCTATGTGCTATTATTTCATCCACTGCTACGTTTCAGTAAACTCTGCCAACTCCCCACTACCAGGTGCATTGCTTGGTAACTGAAGTTTATAGAGCCTTTTATCTTGCAGGTTTTCAGAGAACATGTCTGTTGTTTCTTTCTTAGGCTAAGCTTGTCGCCTACACCAGGAATCTATTTTCCTCCACGTTGTTTTTTTTTCATGTTCTGCCCATTTTTAACTTGCAAAGTTAATTTTTGGTCTGAGAAGCCTTTGGCTGTGATCTGGTGCACTCCCACCTGATTTGGACCGCTGCCCAGTACAGCTCAGCTATTCAGTTTCCTTTGACCTTGCAGTAAAATAGCTGCTCTGCTATAAAAGGAGAAACCATGCTCTCCTCCTTCTTGCTCTGAGCTTCCTTCTCTAGTAAATTAGTGTGTGTCTTGTTGCTTGTCTCTTTTTTTAGATTATTTCCATTTTGTATTTTATAAAATAAAAAAATGCTATGGTTTTGCTGCATACTGTACCATAAATGTTTAAAGTGGTTTAGAAAGTGAAGTTTTCTTCATGTCTTTCTTGATGTATGAAAGAGGACTGACAGATGCATATTTAGAGTGGGGAGACCCATTTTAAGATACAGGCAGGCAAAGCCCTGCACATACTGCTGTATTTATCAACAGAACTGAATCCTAAATGCTATAAAAGACTTAAATGATCTTTACTCTGGTTACTTAAAAGAAATTAACCACTGATGGATATTGTCAGCTCTGCCTTTTTTTCTAGAGAAGGAGTCATAGATATAGCTAAGGATACATCTACACTGCAACTCTTAAAAACTTGTACACACGATAAAGATAATGAAGCATTCAATATGCATAACAAATGCAGAATAAATCGCCCTTAGTAGGCGTGCACAGTAGATCAGGTGTTTGCTACTGAAGAAGTAGTGGGCCAGACTCCCCATTCAGTATGGCAGTGCTGTGCAAGCACAGCTTCTGGCTTGACGTGACTTAAAACTCAGGCTCTCTCGTTCATTAAATTTGATCAGCCTACCACATTCAGTAAGCCTATGAAAGATGCAAATGTAAAAGGTGACAGCTCCAGAGAGCCCTCAGATTTCAAGAGTTGTCATACTGAGTTACATATTGAGCTGCCACGTCAGATGTTTCAAATGTTGTCTTTTTCCTAT